TTTGCCTTTCCTTTATAGTTTTTTTTTAATATCATGATTATATATATTCTATTTAATTTACTTCGAATGAATCAACATCATAATTTTTTTGGTACAATAGCATAATTTTTAAATAAAGTGTTAATTGCTTTCACTTGTACCATGAATGGATGCCTTTTGTCAACAATTTTGTCATGGTCAACTATTTGCTCATGGTTAATTCAATTACTATTGAACAAAAGAATTAAATAAGAAATATGTGGTGTGTTTAATGTGTATTTTTTAATATGTGCATTATTGTTTGATGATTTAACAATTTTAAAAATAATAATTTAGACAATTTTGCTATTTATTATCCAACATGATACATAACAAACAATTAAATAAAATTTATTATTAATGAAAATTGTTCAAAGACAAAATAGCTCTTTATTTTCAATTTTATGATATATAACAGGGTAAGTTATATAAGTTTTAAGGTGAGCAATGTACTTATTTTCACCAAATAATTCAAAAGCATTGATTCAATATAATTTTTTATTCAACATTTAATCATGCACTTTTTTTTTACAATACTTCTATTTTAATTTTTATATTTCAATTCATACAATTACATGTACTAAAAATATATTGCCAAATAATTGTCAAAACAATTCTTTTTTTCTTATCCAATTAAATTCTATTAAATTTGTTATATTTTCATGTTCTACTTTCTCAAAAAAGTCATTAAAAAATAGTATCTGAAAAATATTTTGGACAACTTTTCTAGTTAGGAAGAAAGCAATGAAATCTTAAAATAAATAATTGATTTTCATTACCAGTTATTTTTTCTTATAATTGTATGTTGACTTAAAACATTTTAATGATTTTTTTAATTAGGTCAATCAAATACTAATATTAATTGAAAGTTCACTAATCAAATAAATATGGTATGTGTTTTAATACATAACAATTGTTTCACTCTAATTTCTTTTGAAAATTTATATGTTGTATTTTTAGAGATAAAAAGGAAAATAATTCAATTGCATCTATTAACTTATAAATTTATGATAAAGATGAGATAAATATGAATATTAAATTACTAATTTATAGATACCAATAGTTAAGTTCTCCTAAGTATAGCGTTAATATATATATGTACATCTTTTTACATCTCTTTCTTATCATTGATTTTATTAAATTAAAAGAACTGAGAGTGATAAGTAAAAAAATAAAAAAAAATTTAATCTCATCTCTTAAATCTATTGAAATCAATATTTAAGAAAAGTATAAAATTAAAAAGTTTTATATTAGTGTAAGTTGATCCATTTTCATATACATACATACGTACGTACATACATATATATATACCACCCATTTTATATAATGAGATTTCTAACATTACATATTATTATAAAACTACAATTTCTTATCAAAATTATAAACATACTATTTTTTAAAATAAAAATTTTGTTTTTAATAAATAATCTTTTATTTTTGAAGCAGTAGTGTATGTACAAAAGTATATAACTGATTTATTTGCTTATGCATAGCACGAATTTAAATTTAGTTATCTATGAAAATTGTTTTGTAACTAATAGCCAAATAGGCAGGCATAAGAATTTAAAAATTTAAAAATGTTTTTGTTTTTGGGTACTTAAATGACAATATTATAATTCCATTTTGCACCCCTTTGGTTAAAGTATTTCGACTTTAGTCTCTCTAGCTTTCCCCTTTACAATAATTATTTGGTCCAATGGCTTTAGAGGTTTCAATTTTTAACTCAAAACTGATTTTAAAAATTTTAAAAGATATTTTCATATTAATATTTACTTGAAAAGCATCCATATTTATGTTTTTCTTGTATTTACATTTAAATTTTTTACATAAAATATATAAAAAAAATATTTTTTATTGCACTGGAGAATGAAGCTTGTCTTTACTTTCACAAATGAGAATGGATTAGTAAGTCGGATTTTGAGAGGGATGAGTTTGACAGCTGCAGATGGCTATCAGATGAAGAGGACTTAAATGTCAATAGCAGTGATCCTTTCAAATCCTGCCAAGTCTTGAGAACAATGTTGGTGTAGGGAATGTTTCAACTTTAACTAATGCTTGTGGGTCTTCTGATCCAGGATATTCTCATCTGTGATTGTGACAAATTTCGGATGTAGAATTCGATGTCCACAAGGATTGATCATCCAACATTTTCTGAAACTGAGAAAGATCCGTGGAATTGGAAGGTGTAGTCAAATGATCGAACTGAAAACTAGAATCGGTTGTATCCCATTCCCAGATTGATACACGGCTGTTGGGAGACAAACTTGCCGTCCGAAGATCTCCAGCCACTGAGAGTAGCTCGGAATAAAGGTGCTGTATCTTCTGATCCTTTCCTTTGCACTTGAACACACAGCTCAACATGTCTTTTCAGGCTTGAGTCAGACTGGGAATGCACAACATTTTCACTCCCTAATGTTAAAAGGAAGGTGGATTCAAAAGCGACGAATTCCAAGCAACGGTCAACGGTGATAAGATGTGAGTTTCCTGTCCAAAAGGAAAAATGAAAGCCTATGTCATGAGAGATGACTGAAAATTTTTTGACATAACAGTTTGAGTGGAACTGTGAGCTTCTTTTTTGTTTGAGAAAAGAGGGGTTGTAGTTCTTCACTTCTCCATACGTATTGTGTATGCTTTTTGAACACCCGTGTCCAGTTTTGGGTCTTCTCTTCGGAGTGCTGCTGCTTCTACTTCTAGTCGAACTAGTAGTGTAGTACTAGTTGCCATTTTTATCTTCTATCTCCCTCATTTTCGTGTGTTTTTTTGATGTAGGAAAGCTGTTTCTCAAGCTAATCTCGAGGTGACGAAGAACCATACATGCTACTAGCTTTTATTTATTTTTTGTTTTATTTTCATTAAATGCAATAATATTTTGTACTGTAGCTTTTTATTTTTTTATTAAAAAATCGAATTTGGCTCTACAAATTAAAAAATATATAAAAAGTACAAAGATTTACCCTTAAGTCAAATTCATTTGTAGTTTTTAAAAAATATAATATTAAAATATTGAATATTGAATAAGAATCTTTGCAAAAGATGTGAAGATTAGTTAATTTATTTTTTATTTCATAATGAATAAAAAGGATTCAAGAGACATGACAATACGAATGATGACGATAAAGTTGAAAAGAGTATTTACGATTTTATAATATATGAAGATGATACTATTTCGTTATATGAATTATATATAATATTATATTAATATATACATAAAAATTTGATAAATTTTATTTATGTGGATGTTTGGTGAATAATTTATATTATTAACACAGAAAATAATTTTAAATAACTTTATCCAATCAATATTCAATTTTAAAAAATTTTAAAATTTCAAAATTTACATTTATTAAAATCTTTCAAAATATATAAATTTTATCTTAATTTAAACTTAAAAAAATATATCTCATATCTTACTCTTACTCATTTATATAAAATACAAATTTCAAATAGTTTTTAAAAGTTAAATCCCTAAATTTTAGTAATTATAAAAAATCACATACCATCTAAATCAATATTCATATAAATTTAAATAGATAAAATTTATGGTTGAATCATTGTTATTTAATAATCTTTTTGTCTTTATTTTTCTATGATTTAAAATAAAAGAGAAAAATATATTTTATCTCAATTTAAAATTACATATATATATCTATATTTAAAATTATACTAACTTCTTTATCTTAATTTAAAATTAAACTTAAACAAACTACATTTTTAAAAATTTAAAATTTTTTTAAATTAAATAATTATCAAATATATATTTATGATTTTTTCTCACAATTGATATTTTCTTCTTTATAAAAGATAGAACAATAAGATATTTGTCATAAAAGTTTGGTATTATAAAGTTTCAAAATCAAATATGAAAAAATCTTTTATGATATATCACATGTGTAAATATTAATTTTTATATTAAAATAATATATACTTTTAAAAGTGTATGCAATTGTGAACTATAGATTAACTTTTTTATTGAGATTTGTATGTAATTTTACTTTCATAATTCAAAACTTTCATAATGCTTATTTGGATTCATTCATAATAATTTATATATACATGATTTTTGTAATTTTACACTACAAATTATAAATGATTATGAATATTTTTATTTATCTATATGTAATATAAAATTAATATAAATTAAAATTTTAAATTATAAAAAATATAATAAAAAATTTCATGCATGGCACGCTAAAAAAACTAGTTATATATATATTTAATAAATTAAATAATATTATTTTATTAATAAAAATAAAAAATTTATTAATAATATATCAAATATAAATTTATAAATATAAAAAATTATTTGATACATTATTAATATAATTTTTTTAATTTCACAAGTGAAACTAACATAACTATAAATGTTTCATTTCTTTTTTTAATTATTTTTTTTAAACAATATATTTTAAGAGACATGTATCATATATTTATCTTGCTTGTAAAATTAAAAACTGTATTGATAATATATTTGATAATTTTTTATAAGAGAAATTATTTATAAATATAATATAAAAAATTATTTGATATAGTATGAGTAGAATTATTTTTAATTCTATAAACACAATTGATAAAATAACACATATTTTAAATTTTTTATTTTTAAATATACAATAAAAATATGTATCAATCTATTAACTTGTTCTAATAATTTCTTTATAATATAATAAAAAAGCACTTGATTAATCACTCAAAAAAAATTTTATTTGTTTGAGTGATAAAAAGTTTAATTTATTTTAAGTAAGATTTTAATTTTAAATCTTATAAATAAAAAAATAAATTGAAAAAAATTTATTCTTTTTATGAAATTTAATTTAATTTAATTTTAAATTAATCTAAACTCAAAATAATTATCAAACCTCAAAAATAAAAAAAAAAAAAAAAAATACCAGCGTACCTGGAAAAAGAAAAAAGAGAGAACGACACATCACCAAAAAAGAAAAGTGGACGAGTGTAAATGGGGCGCAAAGATGGTTTAGCGGAGGGCGAGAAATCCTCTCCATTGTCTTCTTTCCTCGCCCTTCTCGGGGCCTTCAGTCCCTACAGGCAGCAAACCCTCTACATAGTCACATTGAGATCACTCAGCCATATATCCTTTTCTAAGCTCAAATAATAATAATAAAAAGAACAAAATAACTAAATTCTGTGTATCCCCAAGTAATGGCCCAGTTGGAAACCCTAGATTCACCCCAATCATCCTCTTCTTCTTCATCTTCAGATCCACACCTGTCGTGGAACTTGTCATCCAGTCGACTCAACGCACAGGCGCCGGAATTTGTGCCTACTCGCTCTACGCCTCTGCAGCAGCAACAAAATCACAGGATGATGATCCCTCCTCCTCCGCCCCCTGGGATGCTGCAGGTCTACCCTCCTCTTCCTCCTCCTCCGACAGCGTTTCATCTTCCCGTCCATAGCCCCGTGCCTATGCCGCGTCACATGGTTCCCGTCCACCATCATGTGCCCATGCGGAATCATCATCATCCTTACCAGAATCATCATCATCATCACCATCGAGAGCAAGAAATTGAGGCCGTTGTGAGGAAGGATCAACAGAAGGAGCACAAGGATCATGGTGCTACTTCCTCCAAAAATGTACTATCCGAAGAAGCTACATTAAAGATTTTGAATCAGGTCTGAATGAATTCACCAGTCATAACTAGCATCACTCAACCAATGTTGCCGCTTCTGCTTTTGCAATTTTTAAGTGTTGCCACTGTTTATGCTCTTTGTTTGGTGACTTTGGTCCTTCAAATCCTAGTGTTATTTCTTTCTTTGATTATTCTCTTTATTCGAGAATCTGTCATAAGCTAATCATTGGTGGATAAATGTATTTCAAAATGATCAAATGCTGGACTAATGCTGCCATTTTCTTTAGGAATTTATTTTAACCGTCGGTACTACCAGTTTTCTGAACATGCCCTTTTCCTCTGTCTTGTTCCTCTATAATTTTTCCCTAATGTAAAACACAACAATCTATTTCGCAGGTTGAGTACTATTTTAGTGATTTGAACTTGGCCACCACCGATCATCTTATGAGGTTCATTAACAAGGATCCTGAAGGATATGGTATGATTTCATTCCATTCCCAGCAAAAAGTTTTAGACTGGAACTCTAGTTTATGCAAATTCCTATCAAGTTAAAGTGTTCATGCACATTAATGTCGTTTATACCATACAAATGGTTAACATTGCTATTATATAATCTAGTTGTTGCTATTGTATAATCTAGTTGCTCATTACCGTTTTGTGGATGCTTTGCTTTCACCTCGTCCATTGTCTTTATTAATTTACTGATATGAGTTCACCTAGTCTTAAAGATTGTTGACTTGTTCTACATTGAAGATTTTGAACTTGTTTTAATATTAACTATTCTGCATTCAGACTAATATAATTATTTTCTTTGCTTTCCATATAGTGCCATTATCTGTTGTTGCATCTTTTAAGAAGATTAAAGCCCTCATAACTACTCATTCCCAGCTAGCTAGCGTTTTGCAGAACTCATTGAAGCTTGTGAGTATTTTCCTTGTACTGTTGTTTCATGCACTTACTTTTGCTTCTTAATGTTTTATTTCTACACGTAGTTGCTTCATATCTCTTTAATGGCCTTGCATATATCTTTTTGATTCCATAATGCATAGGTGGTTAGTGAAGATGGAAAGAAAGTAAGACGCCAGCATCCCCTAACTGAAGCAGATATGGAAGAGTTGCAAGTAAGGTTTTTGTTCATATTTCTTTTTCGCATTCTACTTCTTCTTATGCAAGTTTTTACGCGTCTTTTCTTTAAATGTCATGTTTGTCTTTATAGTCAGGCAGTCTTGTAGAATATTTCTTTAAATGTCAGAATATTGTATGAGAAATTTGTTTTTCATCCTTCATTATATTATATTATATTATGTTCAATCAAATCAAGTGTGCTAATGTCTTACATATCACTTCCAAACACTTGTGATACGTAGTCTCGTATAGTTGTTGCTGAAAATTTGCCCGAGGATCACTGCCATCAAAACCTTATGAAAATTTTCTCTGCTGTTGGGAGGTACCAAGATTATTGCCTAATTAAAGAAATTATAAAGCCTAGGTAGTGATTTTTGGTTTTAACCATGTTTATCATGTCTTTGATCCATTCTTAGTGTGAAGACAATCCGTACCTGTCAGCCGCAACCCTCTGGTTCTGGGGTATCTTCAGCATCTAGATCAGCAAAAAGTGATGGCTTGAGTTTTAGTAACAAGGTGCATCTGCTCATCATGCATGTGCTAGCTATTGTGTTTATTTCCTATGGAAAGATATCTTCTTTCTTTTTCTGGTCTAATTCTTTGGAAAGATATCACATTCTCTTTTTTTTCCTGGTTAACAAGTGTTAACTCTTGGGTATAGGATGATTTAATTTTGGACTCTTTATTTTGTAGTTGCATGCGTATGTGGAATATGAATCTGTTGAGCTTGCTGAGAAAGCAGTAAGTACTCCTATTTCCCATAAGATTTCCCTTTTTATCTTCCATGGTTGTAAACAGATGGATAAACATCTTATTTTGCAGGTAGCAGAGCTGAATGATGAGGGAAATTGGAGAATTGGCCTGAGGGTCCGCCTAATGCTTAGACGTGCTGTATGTGGTGGTGATATTTAAGCTTTTTTCTCTCTTCTCCTTCCATGTTTGTGACACCGAATGAATTATGAATTCAGTGAAATAAAAACAGATCAATATTTTTGCTTGATTCCGAAAGATCATGGAGTGGATGGTAGTCTGTTTATTGAGCTGTTTAACATTTCATATCTCCAGATAGTTTCTGGTGTGAAACTTATGTATTGTTTACCAACTTAATCTTAAATAAGTGAGCATTTAGTAGATTATAAAGTCCCCCAACACATACAATGTGAAAAAGAAATCCTATTGTTATTATTATTTTGAATTTGTGTCCTATATATCACACATTTGATTAATTTCAGTTCAAATCTTGGCTTGATTTAGAAAATTCATTTTGTTTGGCTATTTTAAATTTCAGTTGATTCATGAAGCAAGACTAGACCATTGATTTGTATTTGTATTCTCTCATTCTTAGTCAAAACCTGCTCATGCAAGAGGGAAAAAGGGCCATGATGGGGAAGGTCATTATGAGGAAGATGATGCTTCTACATCTGAGCAGCAGTCAAATGAGAAACAACAAGAAGACCCTTCTCGGTTGTCTGATATCCATTCACATGAGTATCCCGTAAGTGCCAATCCAATTATTATAATAAGTATTTACCTCGAGTTAGGCTCTCCCAGTTTCGGAATAGATCCCCTCTAACACAAATTAACTATGAAAAGAGAAAAAGATGATCCTAAGACAATTAAATACTGGAAATGGCTCTTTGAATATTATGAATATATGGTGCCTTTCTAATAGTGACTAATTTGCTAAATTTATGAAAATAACTGGAATTGGGATGGTTGAGCTCTGCTTCTAATAATGGGCTTCTTCCGCATCTGTTTTGCTATTGCTTTGAAGATTCCTTCCTAAGATAATGACTGGGAGCAATGCAGTGATGTATATGGTAAGGCATTGGCTCACCACTGATACCATTAACTTTTTGAAGCTAGAAAGCAAGCTTGGCTCTTTCGTCATATGCTTGCTATTATAGTTCCTTTTTTATCCCAATTTCCAGAAGGCTAAGTATCATACCATGATTTGTCATGTGCAGGGAGAGGAGCATTCCAATGACAAAGAGTGTGGACAGAAAAAAGGGCGAAACAGGGGCCGATGCAAAGGACGAGGGCGGGTTCATTACCATAATAACCATCATAATAGTCGTGGAAATCATGTGAGCACCCCCCCTTTAGCTTCAAGTAATTTGGTCAGTGACGAGCAAGCAAGTGTGGCGAAGCAGGCCCCTGGTCCTCGTATGCCAGATGGCACAAGAGGATTTGCTATGGGTCGGGGGAAGCCAGTTTCTGTTAACACTGCATGATTAATATTTATACTACACAATCTTGTAACTCTGTGCATTGGTAGAATGTGGTACGGAGATGTGTGCTTGAAGTGGTGTTTGGTGGCACGGTATGTCAGGGACTGTCCATCTATGGTCGTTAGCTGTCCATCTATGGTCTAGGTCATTAGTGAGTGTCGGGTGATCACTTTCCTATGGTTTTGTATGTGGGTATGGATGATGCAAAATACGCATATCAGTTCTTTTATTTTTATTTTTTTGACTTTTCGGTTTTTAGCTTTGATTGACGTAGTGAGTCTCGATGACCAATTTACCTATAGAATGAGTGAAGAAGCAATAATACTTTGGGAATTTTAGGGTAGCTCTCATGTTGTAATATTTAACTCACTTATTAAGATTTTAATGTTGGTTTTTATGGTATAACATTGAGTTTTCGTTCAGTTGGATTTTAATTCGGTTAGATTTTTGGATTTTAATTCTGTCAGATGTTAAAAGATGATTTGTACAAAATAGCATTTAGCTTTTATTCAGATTATTTTGATATGAATTATGAAAATTTGCATCTAATAAGAGATAATTAATTTTAATCTGAAAGTTTTATGATTTTATTGCATAAAAAATATTTTTTATGCTTAAATTTAAATTTTTACACTTACGTTGAAGTAAGATTGGAGTATCGCACATAATCAAGGGTGTCATGCAAGGTGTTTGACAATCTCGCAAAGCTGAAGTTTTCCCACCTGCAATTGGCCTCTACTTCAAAGCTTGGGCACTTGTCCCTCCATCTAGATGTTGCGGACTATGATGACCTCATCAAAATCTGGCCCCTCGCTTGCACTACAAAGGTTCTCACTTTCTCAACGTTTCCTCTTGTCAGTCAGTTGTCACCCGCAATTCAATTTCAATTTGACGCTTTTTCATTCAGTGCTCAACTTTTCTTCTCCTATTTCTTTTTAGCATATAATTTATTTAAGTTGTAATATATTCACTATCATTCTTACACTCAAAACCTACCAAGTTCAGAGTTCGCTTGAATGATACCCAAGTTTAACATTCATCTCTCATTTTCCAAGTCAAACATAACCTTCGCACTACTTTAATACTAGTTACTGCTCTTTTTTTATTCTTTTTCTTGGTCTTCCTATTTTATTGAACATCTTCGTTGCAAACCTATGTTTTTGCTTCCCTTGCTTAAAAGCCATCCCTGAATTCCCCTGTTTGCTTGTTGGTGAATAATTTTGCCCTCCAATATCCGTTATCTGTTTCAGGCACAACAAAGTGATGAGTAGGCTAAAATAATAAAAAATATTTTAAAATTTATCATTTTAATTAAGTAAATTTTTATATTTTTATTATACTCAAATAAATAATTTGTTTTTAATTTACACTTAAAATAAATTTTTAATCTTTAATTTATATCCGAACAAAGACAAAAATGAAATTTCTATTAATTTAATAAATAAACTTGGTAATCACTTTTTTTTATTTTATAGGTTAATCATTAGATTATGTAAGATAGTGTATTTTTAAGATTATTCTCATTGTAATGATTCTATGGTCAAAATTTTTGTTATATGCCAGCCAGTACGTGAAAGAGGGTGGGTGGAGACTAGTTAGCCTTCAGGAGATGTCCATTTGGGATATGATAAATTGGAAATCCACGAGGAAGGATCAATTGGGATTTATGAAAAGGATGATTCAAGGAAGCAGTCTTTCGTTATATAATTTCCGAGTGAAATTTAGCATTGAAACTCTGATTTGACGTCATCAAGTGCACTTGGAAGTGGTGAGTGCCATAGAATCTGTTTGCGGTAATTCATCAACCTTTCTTGGCTTCATTAGTTCCACTAAATCGATGAAGTGTTTAGAAAAAGAATGTTCAGTGTATTTCATATTTTTTAAAATGCACTAGAGGCTTAAAAATTGACTGGACCTTAAGGATGCAGTGAACATTTCACTCCACCATAGCATTCTTTCCTTTATTACCCATGTTCATTTTTTTTTTTGTACCCTTAAGACTAAAGTGCTGGGATGATAATGTCCCTGTTATTGTATCCTTCGCTTTTGTTTTTTTTTATTATTTATTTGTTTTATTGTTTATTTTATTTTTTTATTTAAATATTTTCAAATAATATCATTATAATTATTTAATAAACTATTTATATAATTAATAAATTAATTAATAAAATAACTAGCTAAAAATCATAAACAAATAATTAATTTTTAATTGTAAAACTTTGTTATTAATTTTTAATAAATTTATTATTTATTATAAAAATTAATTCATAAATATAAAAAATATACTAAAAATTTTATTATACAAATTTTAATCTAATGCTTTTAATAATAGTTTTTTTTCTTATTACATTTCTCTTCATTACTAATGTTGTATTTGTATTAAAACATGTATATCATTATTAATTTTAATTTTATCATTATAATATTAAAATTTATTATTATAATAATTAATTTTATTTTCATTGTTATTTTTAACTTCATCAAAATCGATATTATCGCTTATCCAAATAGGTTCTCTTTGACTATGATTCTTTGTAATTAGAATAATAGAGGTTGAAAGGTGTGCTAAGATGGTTTTTAGCAGCCAAATTTGTTCTGCTTATCACCTTCAATTTGCGGAACCTTGGGAAGTAGTAGACTTACAGAGCAGTTGTACTAGTAGGTGTAGTATTAGTAGTAGTCTTTTGAAGTAGTAATGGAAGTGGTAGTCCTTTATGGTTACGAGCAAGCTAATTGTGGACATGATATATTGTCATTCCAGTTAAGTTTTAAAGTTTGAACTTCGAAGTAGACATGATTGAAAAAATATTCGACAGTGTAATTAGTAGTGCCGAAGTTGGTACTCTCACCTATCACGTTCTCGCTTGACATGACAATTTGGGGGAGTAAAAGAAGAACAAATTAAATACAGACAACCTTTAAAAAAAATAGTAAAAGTATTTCTTATTGTTTGATTTGTTGGGTTGTACTAGACCTTTTGAGTGTAGACCTTTTTACTTCAAATTCGTACTTTTTCTTAATACTGGACCCACCTAACATGACCTAACGACAGCAAAATCTGACGTTACTAATTGACAATGGTTATTTAAGCTCATTAAGGTAAGTTATGCCGCGATCTCTCTTCTCCCTCCGGATTCAAAATTTGGCACTCCCAGAGCAACTCTTGTCATGAAAAACAACAACAACCAACAACCAACAACGTACTACGGACAGCAAAGTTAAATCCAATCCTCCCTTTCTTAAACTCCAACAACTTGTTGACACCAACGCTTCTGGCAGGTAAGTATCTACTTCACACTTAAAACTCCCAACAACTCGCTAAATGCACCTCGCATATTCGATATTCTCCGTCTCTTCAATTTTTATGGTTTTTCCTTTTTCACTTTGGTTAAATGTAGAGCCTTTCTTATTCTTGTCTTTCAAGCAATTAAGGGTTTTGCTACATGGGTTCTTGGAATGGAATACTCCTGCTTATTCTGGTAAAGTTGTAAGAAGTGTTTCACTGTGGATTTTTTTTCCTTTTAGGGTTTCAATCTGATGACAACTCATTCACCGTATCATATCTTTCCACTTAATTTTTAGGTGGTTGGGAGGAGTCGTGGAAGCAGGGAGTTGTCATCCTTTGGGATTTAGGTTGCCCTATGCTAGGTGTCATGAGCTACCCTTGTATAGGGTCATGACCGGGACTTAAGTTGTCATGAGCCACTCATGTATAGGATCATAGTTGGGTAGATCCCTTGTGTTAGGAAAAAGTATCCCCATTTCAAACATTGTAACGGTTACTGGTAGCATAGCTCTAAAAGCTCTAAAGCTCTTTAGGGGGGTGAGCCGACAACGTAGTATTGGGCTGTCTCATCGGGTGCTATGCAAGCTTAGGTCACCCACCAAGGGCTGCCCCCTGGCCCTGGTGATGGTGGGAGGTCCCGATGTATGATTCTCGTTTATAATAAAATTCACCCCGATTGAATGCCTGATTGTTGCCTCGATGCGTTTCTTTTTTTCTCGATGTGAATGTGCCTTGTTGTGTGTATATGCTTGAGATTGACCTCGGTATATTGTGCCTTATTGTGAATGCTTGAGACTAACCATGGTTTATGGTTATTTGTTCAGATATCGATGTATTGAAGGCTGACTTGGGTGGAAACGTCCATTCAAGTGCCGCACGGGCTAGTGCTTGTTGAAAGAAAGCTTAGTCCGTGACACGTGGTATCAGAGCACGGTTGAGAAGTGCTAGAAAATGGATGAGATGGCCACAAGAGGTGGACCTGATCATCAACAGAGAATTGAAGAACTTAAGGCCGCGGTGGCCGCAATGAAAACTCACATGACGACTAAAGATCGAGTGAGGGAGATCGAGATAACCCGGCGGGAGTTGTCCGATACTTTTCACAATGTAAGCGAGGAGGCTAGAGATGCCTTGAATATTCTCCAAAAGGAGTTTGAAGAGCTCAGAGCACAGGTGAGCATCTTACAACTGGCTGTGGCTAGGTCAGGTTCAAGCTCGATGGATAGGGGGAGAAGGCCTAAGGTGCCGGAGCCTCGATGTTATGAGGGGGCAAGGGATGCCAAGGAACTTGAAAATTTCTTGTTTAACATGGAGTAGTACTTTTGGGTGGTGCACACGGATTCAGAGGAAGACAAGGTAACAATGGCATCGATGTACCTCGCAGGGGATGCCAAGCTTTGGTGGCGTTCCAAGTTTGTCAATGACGAGTGCCCGATTAAAACTTGGACGGACCTGAAGCAGGAATTGAAAAATCAGTTTTTCCCTGAGAATGTGGAGTATATGGCTCGAAGGAGACTCAGAGAATTGGTGCAAACAGGGACAGTACGAGAGTTTGTGAGGAGCTTCTTTACCCTGATGTTGGATATTCGAGACATGTCCGAGAAGGACAAGATGTTCTATTTTCTTGAGGGCCTCAAGCCTTGGGCCAGAGCAAAACTACAAAGACAAAAAGTGCAAGACGTGGCCGCGGCCATGACTGTAGCTGAACGTCTCCAAGACTATAACGATGGCTCCTTAAAATGAAAAAATTCTTCATCAGCTGGCAGTAGCTTCAACTTTGAGAGTGGGGGAAAATGACCAGATTGGATCGTCCCTTCAGTGGGGGATCAGATAAGAGGTCTTTCGGA